CACCTGCCCAGGGCACCTCATAGTCCCAAGGAAGAGAAAAAGTCCTGCAGTTGAGATGGGTTTAGGCAGAGATCTCAGGGGAGGGACTGAGGGGACTTCCCTCAGCCTGGGAGGATTGGCCATCCTGGTGGGATGTGTGAGGTCCCTGGAGCCACATGGGTGGCCCACAGACTCCCAGACCCATGTACAGACCACGGAGCTGTGCTGAACCCGCGTGGCCAACCTGTCACAGAGACACACCTGTGCAGATAGGGCCCTGTCTCTGCCTCTCTAAGGACATGGTTGACTTGGAAGGCACCTAGAAGAGGAAGGAGAGCCAGTGGGTCTCAGGGTAGCATCTATGGCCTCCCTTTACCCACACCTGATCCCCGGGCAGGTTCTTACCCTCCTGTCCAGGAGTTCAGGTCTGGGTCCCAGCACATCAGAGCCAAGGCCACAGGCCAGGGAGGACCATGTGTATCCAGGGGAAGGGATCATGCTGCAGAGGGGTCAGAGCTGCAGAACCGCCTGTGGACCGTGGCCTCACCCTGAGGCTGGCTCACCGTCGGCCCTGTGTGGACAGAGCCACAGGTGAGCAGGGAGTGGGGCAACATTTGAAGGTACAGGTGCTGCACTTACCGGAAGATTTCATAAGGTGCACTGGACGCAATACATCCGATTTGGTTGGTCTATCATGGTTGTGAAAGAAACCATCTCCAAGCTTAGTGGCTTAGAACCTCCATCATTTGTTATTGATGAGAGTCTGGAGGTCATCTGGGCAGTCTGCTCTGGGCTCATGCGTGTGTCTGAGTGCAGCTGGCCTGTGGCTGCTGATGACTCCGTTCTCTGCTGGTACCTCTCCCTCCGGCAGGCCAGCTGGGGATACTCCCAGGGTGGTGCAGAGGCCCAGTGGGAAAGAGAAAAGTGCAGACACTGATTCACCTTCTGCTCATTTCACGTTGACAACTGTCCCGAAGGCCAAAGCTGGACAGGCAGCTGAGCGTGGCGTGGGAGCTGGAGGGGATTTCCCAGTGGCAGGACACAGGCGTGCACTTGAGGAGGCCACTCCTGGGAACACCGTTTACACCACTTTGGGTAAATGGCGTTTTCTCAGGCAGCACCGTTGGACAGAATTTTCTGTGTTGATGGAAATGATCTATATCTCCACTGTCCAATATGGTAATGTCTTAGGCTGGATTCTCTAGAGAAGCAAAACCAGTAAAGCATATGAATATATACAGAGAGAGATTTATATCAAGGAAACAGCTCACGTGATTGTAGAGGCTAGAATGTCCCAAGTCCGTGGATCAGGGTAGAGCCTTCTCCCAATTCATGCAGCCATAGAAGCTGGCAAACCCAAAGTTGGCAGATCGGAGAGCAGGGCTCCTGCTCACAGGCCGTGAAGGTCGAAAAATTCCAAAATCAGCAGATAAGACCGCCAGGTTTCTCCTGATTCATGTAGCTGCAGCGGCTGGGGAACCCAAGATCAGCAGGTCGGGGAACAGGACTCTTGCTCACAGGCTGTGAAGATCGATGAATCCCAAGATTGAGCTGCTAGCTCAAGTCCCAAGAATTGGAGGTGAGACGACAAGAGGTGGCTGCTGGGTCTGGAAAAAGCCAAAAACCTTGGCAAGGCGAGCAGGCAGAAAGTAACTGGCGGAAGGCAGAGAGATGAAGCTAAGGGGGCAGTGAGCTGCCACAGGCCCCACCCCTGCTAGTACCACTCAGCAGATTCTATCATGGGGGGGTGATAACATATCAGATTTCAACAGGGGAGTGATCACAACATTATACAACTGCGAAAACTCAGAATCATGGCCCAGCCAAGTTGATATACAATCTTAACTATCATTGAGTACTTGAAATGTGGCTCGTGTGACTACAGAACCGAATTTGTAACTTGATTTAATTTTAATGAATTTAAATTTAAATCACCCCATGTGGCTCATGGCTCCTGTATTGGAGAGCAGGAACTAGGGGGAAGCATTCACGGCTCAGGTGATCAGTGGTTGCAGGTCCTGTGCGGAGCCTGCTGCTGCTTTTGCATGGATGGCTGCTCAGTGCCATGGTATCCTCAAGCTTGTGCTGGTGTGTGGGAACGGTGCTGGGGGCCAGGACTGGCAGCAGGCCTGAGATTGTCCAATTGGGCTGTCTCCCTGTGGCCCTCTTCTCCCCAGATATCTCCTCATATTCAACCTGCTGTGCTCTGATTGGTTAGGAAGCTCCAAAGACCTCTTAGAACTTTTCCTTTAAGAGACCTTGCGCTGCAGATCTCTAGGGGTCCGAGCAGGCTCATGTGTACCTGCAGGTATCTGCAGCCTGGGGCTGGGGCAGGGGGAAGGCACTGTGTCCTGTCCTTAGTTGGTCACCCTTCCCTTGGAAGTTTGGGGGAGCCCAGTCCAGGCCACCTTGTCCCAGTCCTGCGGCTTGGCGAAGAGGGCCTTCTTCCTACTTGGTGCCTCCACCCTCTCTGCCTTGGTGGTCTGCCATGGTCTGGTGGGTGGGAGGGGCCCAGATGCATGGCTGTGCTCCAGGGAAAACACAGCTCCCATGAAGGGATGCAGGCTTCGCCCGTGGCTGGACTAGAGCCCAGGGCCCAGGGTTTGAGTATCAGTCACGCATCTGCCCTGTCTCAAAGGGCTTCAAGTGTTTCCTCTCTGTACGGACGGGTTAGGAGGTTGGCTCCCTGCGTCTCCCAAGCACAGGCCCCTGAGATAAGCAAGTGAAACCCACAAGGGCTGAGATCCCTCAGATTGAAGAGCTCCTCACAATCTGGTGAAAATGCTAGTCAAGGATGCTCATCCCCAGTTTGTAGATGAGCAGACTGAGGCACAAAGGGGACGTGTTTAAGTAACTACTACACACGGAGTGTCAGAGCCCGCAGCAGGGAACAGGGCCATGTCCACAGCCGCCTGCACACCCCCAGCCAGGATTGCCATGGGGTCCCACTGTCCACCCTGGCCGTTTGTTTGGATCTCAGCGGCCCTTGTCATGGTCTCGCTGGTACTAGACTAGAGCCCTCCTCCTGGCCAGCCTGGGAGCCGGGGACCCTGCTGCAGTTCACACGGTGTCCCACTCCTGGTGTGCTCACAACGTTTGTGGAATGGACACTCTTAGTTTGCTAGTGCTGCTGTAACAGAAATACCACAAGTGGGTGGCTTTAGCAAACAAATTTATCTTCTTGGAGTTCAGAAAGCTAAAGGTCTGCATTCGGGGCACCAGCTCTAGGGGAAGGCTGTCTCTGTTGGCTGCATGGGAAGATCTTTGTCTTCCAGTTTCTGTTCCTTGGTTTCTTGGTGATTGTCACATGGCATCTATCTTCCTCCACTTGTGCTTGCTTCTATGTCTAATCTGCTCTTTATATCTCAGAAGGGATTTGTTTTAGGACACACCCTACACTGATATGGCCTCATTAACATGACAGAGAAAACCCTATTCCCAAATGAGATTGCGTCTACAGGTGGAGGTGTTAGGATTCCAACACATATTTCTGGGAGACACAGTTCGGCTCATATAACAGACATGGAGCGGCAGTGTGGGAAAGGGCCTAGTCGGGAAATAGCAGTCTGGTTGAATGAGCATTATTCCCTTTGACTTTGATTCTCAGTGACTAGATGGGCCTGGACGTGCCTGCGGGAGGTGCAGCCTGGGCACTGGGCAGGCCTAGGACCCACAGCCCAGAATCACAGCTGTAGGGCATGGTGCAGGGCAGGCCTTGCTTTTGGGAGGTGGGATGCAGGGATGAGCCAGGTGAGGAACCATCCCAGGTTTTGAAAAAGTGGCATATTGGTTGAGACTTTGGGTTGCAGGTGACATAAATCCAACTCAAGTTGGCTTAAGCAAGAAAGGGAGTTGACTGACTTGTGGAGCTGAAAACCCAGAGCATCAGGCTTCAGGCACAGCTGACCCAGAGCTCCAGTGACCTCGTCACAACTGTGCCTCGCCCGCCGGCCTCCTCCTCTGCACAGCCTCCATCCTTGGCAGGTCTCCCTTTGGGGAAGCCAGATGTCTTAGGGCAGCTGAGAGAAGATTTGGTCCCTGGTTCAAAGTAAAATCTACCCTCACAAGGGTAAATCTGCACTACTGTGCAGTGTAGCTGGGCGCCAGCCTCCCCCTGGACGTCATCCCTTGGGAAGTCACTCCAGCTTCCACACTCCTCTCCTGCCTGGCACTTGCTTCCTGCCCTCCTGGAAGCCAGAGGGGTGAGAACAGGCCTCTGTGCCAGGTGTTGCAGCCAGGGTCCCAGAACCAAGTCTCCATGGGCCACCTGGGTCATATGCTTATCCTTGGGTTAGGAAGTGATGTTCTGGTTGGCCGGGCCTGGGTCATGTGGCCTGGAGTGTGAGTCACATGGAAAGTGAGTGAGGGTGGGAGGAAAGTTTCATCCACGAAGACCAGGGTGCCATTACTGAGGTGGGAACCCAGACGTCAGGATTGGGATGCAAGGGCACAGGGAGAGAGCAGCACCAAGGGCTAGAACTGGTCTGTGTCCTGCAGCTGGGCCAGGGCAGGTCCAGGCAGGCAGCAGCCTCAGCTTACCATTGAAGGGGAAACACAGTGAAGTGGAGGTAACGGGGCCCAAGCCAGGGCCCACCAGCACATGTGGCCCCAAGGACAGGCTGCAAGAACTGGGCTCATTGGATGGAGGGATAGGGAGGAAAACAAAGCTCTCAGAAGGAGCGCTTTCAGGCCACCGGACTTGTGGACAGCAGGACGGGCTCTCCATTGTGGGAGATACCCACCCTTGGGCTGGATGCTGTTGAGGGACACAGGGACTAAATGGGTGTCTTCCAACCTCTGATCAGTGGACCATGGAAGCAAACTTGAACGCTGCGCCTGCCCTATTTAGTGATGGCCTTGGCATATCCCAACTCCTGCCCCAGCCCTGGCTGCCTTCCCTCTCCCAGGAAGCCTCTGAGGAGAGTGGCCCCTCTGGGTTGAGGACGTGGGACTTAGATGCCCTCCGAAGCCTCTTCCACTTACAGATGACTCTCTTCTCTTCCTCCTCTCCCCCTGCTCAGATATCCGTGGGCTCCAGAGCTTTCTGGACCAAGCCTCGCGGCTGGGCCTCGATGTGTCTTTACAGAAGGTGGATAAGAACATCAGCCACGTGTTCACCAGCCTCTTCACCACCATGAAGACAGAGGAGCTGAACCGCTACCGGGACACGCTGCGCCGTGCCATCCTGCTGCTCAGCCCACAGGGGGCCCATGCATTCATCAATGAGGTAGGTCAGCCTGCGCCCGATGGCCTGGGGCCAGGCCTCTCCACGGGGATGGCGCAGCTGGGCTGCTACAGAGTTCACTGGTGATGGCCAGAAGGGACGTGGAGCCACACATGGCCTAGAAGGGGAGGCAAGCATGACTCTGCTCCTGCCTGGTCCCGGAGTGGTGGCCAAGGCCTGCCCAGCCCCAGAGAGGCTGGGGTAGCTGGAGAGGTGCCTGTTACACATCACTTCCGGCTTTTCTGAGGCAGCATTCAGCAACCCCCCCCCCCCACTTTTTTTTTCTTTTTTGCTTTTAATTTTCCTGTCTTTGCTGACAGGTGTAAGCCTCTAGGGTTAAAATAAATTTCCAGCTCTCTGCAGAGCGGGGCAACTCTGCCTTGGGATTTGTTAGCACCTGCAGAATGTGTTTGCTGCATAGCACCAAGTGATACCTGGAGCGTGGGCTAATCAGCGGGGTTTTTGAAAACACCTCTAGTAGGGGTTAGGAACTTCTAGTGAAGACAGCACCTACCTGCTTAACAAAGAATCCATTAATATGAGAAGAGAAAGCTAGACATACTCTATGAACTGGTCAGTTGGCGACAGCCCAGTGATCTAATGGCAGAGAGGGGAGGTGCTGGGTTAGCGGTGTCTCTCTGGCCTGGGTGGGCTGTGGGAGGTATGCTGGGGCTGTGCGGTGCCTGAGGGTAGGCGTGGACTAAAGGGTCACAGGTGGCCGGATGCGCCCTGCAGCTTGCCCACCCAGCCCGCTCTCCTTTTAGACCCTCTCTGATGGAAAGTAAGATGAAGCCAAAGGCAGAATGATCCTAATTCCATTTGATGTATTTTGCTGGTTTGTTCTGTGTTCCCCTATAATTAATTAGAACTCAAAATGCTGCCTCATGGTTCAGGACCCAGCATGAAGTCCCCTGCCGGAGAACTTAGAATCCAGAGTGGTTAATTTGGCGCAATTGACCAGCAGCCCTGGTGCTCTTGGCTAATCAGCCCGGATGGCGCTGGTGGTCAGCGGGCTGTGATGTCCCATTGGCCCCTGGCATTTTCACCAGAACATGTTTCGCTGTATGGCATGACTCAGTCCACTAATGGGCAGCCCAGGACGTTAGTGCTGCTAATGTGCTCTGCCCTTTTCAGAATGTCTCCAGCAGTGTATTTGCAGAAGTCTGATGGCAGGGCTGCTTTTCCATTACTAAATTCCCCAGCCTCTGTCTGCTCCAGTGAGCCCCAGCCTCCTCCTTCTCTTCTCACCAGTTCTTGGCCCCCTCTCCTTGTTTCCTTTCCTCTGCTCAGCTGTTAAGCATGGGAGTGGAAAGAAAATTGGCATTGGAGTTAACATAGATTTGGGGTCAAGTCCCAGCTCTCCCACCTACGATTTGTGTGACCTTGGGAAATTTTCCTCTCCTCAGTTTCTTGCTCTGTAAAATAGGGACGAAGCAGATGATAGATACAAAGCAGTTGGCACATAGCGTCTCAACAAGCGTCTGTTCTCTTTTTAAGGTACTTATTCATGCATTTCCCTTCCAGATGAATTCAGCCCCTGTCTCTGTTTCTAGAACTTGTAAGGATTTAGACCTAGCCAGGACTGGTAGCCTAAAGGTATTATTTCCAAGTGATTAACTATGCAAACTCCTGCAGTGTTGGATACACTTGGCTAGGCATTGGCCTGTTGCCTGCCTGCTTTCCCAGGCTGCATTTGGAAAGCTTTTGCTTTGTGAGGTGTCATGGAGCTGGAGATGCCCTTGCAGTGGGCACTCTTAAGGCGCAGGAGTAACAAACCCCTGTGAGTGGTGGCAGAGATTGCAGGGAAGGACAGGGTCTGGGCTTCAGACACGAGGCCACTGCCCCTGCTGTTGCATTCCACTCCTGCTGGGGAGGAGCTTGGGCTCTGGTCCATGCCCTGGCTTCAGGCGGGGGAGGAAGCCCCAGAAAATGGGGCCGCCATGGGCCTGGCCCTTCATAAGCATTCTCTGGCCCTTACACTTTGCAGGTGAAGGAATTGAAGCTGAGTTAAATAAGGTGCTAACATCACACACATAGCAGCCAGAAAGGACATGATTTGAGTCTGTGTTTGAGCCACTGCAGAGCCCCTGTCTCCCACGTGGCTGGGGCGACTACGGAGAACACAACTTATTGCAGTTACTGGAGTGGGGAAAATCTGGCTGTGCTTGCTTCGTCGGGAGATGTAGCTTGGCTGCTCTGCCGGGGCCGGCGGAGGTTGTGAGGCTGCTTGTGCTCAAAGGGCTTTAAGGACGGCTGCCTTGTGTCTACTGAGTGCCGGATGGGAGGCATACAGACTCTGGAGCTGCACATGAACAGTGTGGCTCCCTGGCCCCGCACGTCCCCAGGAGGGACCTGGGATGTCCTCCCTGCAAGAGGGCCTTCTTTCACTGCCTGAGGCATCGTTGGGCTGCTTAAGCAGATGGATGCAGCCAGTTCTTTGCTATGACAAGGACAGACGATGCTCACAGGGTGACCCACTCCCAGGGTGGGTCTGGAATTTCAGGAAACTCAAAACAGTGTTATGGGGAAATAAAATGGCCCTGTGTTCCCCCAGTGACTGGTGGAAAGTGGCTACTGTACTTTGCTCTGTGGATGGCAGCAGGGGCGAGGCACTACAGGGTACGGGTTATGGGGTACCTGGCTGTCACCGCTCCCCTCCCCCACCAGAAAGCCTAGATGAATGGGAGTGAGGGAGGAAGATGGACTCTGCTCAGACTCTTTTCACTGTGTTACGCGTTAACTCGCTGCTGGGGCTGGAGCTTTAACTACGTTAGTGAATACTGTGTGATGTGCCTCATGGCCATGTGACCCAGCCAGGGTATAAGTGCACTGCACTAGGGAGCTGCTTCTCTACACAGTGTCCATGGGTGGTGGCTCTCAGCCTGGGGGCACGTGGCATTGCCGAGCTCTCTGAGGTTGCCACCCCACTGGGAACAGGGTGCCTGGCCTGGAAGAGGGGTGGGCAGGTAGGCGCGGGACCTGCCTGGGACACTGTGAGCACATGTGACAGGCCCCACCTCGCCCTCAGTCCCCCAATCTGATTTCAAGTCCCTCCTTTGAGGTCTTTTCATTGCTGTCTTAACAATCATCGCATCAGTGTATCATCTGAACAAAGTGTGAGGGGATCCCTTGGAGGTGGGGGCTTGGGGTGGGGTGAGTAGATGGCAGCACTCTATGCTCTCCTGCTCCCTGGCCTGGAGCCCGCCCTGGGGCTGCTCTTGGGGCCACTGAGGGCACAGCCATGGAGGGAGCCCTCCTTTGAGCAGGCTGGCCCTGCTCTGGGCTTAGGCTGGCACTTTCTGAGTGTGGAAAGGTGGCCCTTTGAAATCACTGCCTCACTGGGGAGCGAGTTATGCTCATTTTCTCTTAACTTGGCCTGGGCTCTGCTCTGGGCCCCTGGCTGCTGTGTGAGACTCCAACAGACAGTGACACCACCTATGATGCTGTCCTCATGTAAGCCTGCCTGCCTGAGTCATCACCATGGAAGGTGGGTGTGTGGGTGTCCTCTCCTTGCTCCAGGGGCTACAGCACTCCTGCAGTGGGCAAGGTGACATTGGCTGAGAGGGTTGAGGGCAGAGGCCTTGTTCCTGGGAATCCCATCTGTAGGCTGCTGGAGTTTCTCCATTTTGCTCATGTCTCCTCTATTTCATTTCTCCAACATTTAATGAGCCCAATACCGGGATGGACACTGAGGGTACTGTCCCTGATCTCATGGGGTTCCCAGCTTGGTGGGGAAGACAGCAGTGTAAGCAGACCCCTACAACTCTGATAGCAGAGGTGTGTGTAAGGCCCTGGGAGAGCACTGAGGATAGAGCAAGGCCCTCTAGGTAGGGAGAGGTGGGGGTAGTCAGAGGGTTAGGGGATGCTTCCTGGTGTAGGTGATGCAGGGGCTGGGGCTATAGGAATGAACTTGCATTAGCCCTGTGGACAAGGAGGGCCTAGGACCAAGGGGCCTGGAGAGACCCCCTGTATCCAGGGACTTGTGTGTGGTGGTTATAGCAGTGGGTGTGCAGAGCAGTGTGTGCCTGGAGCTGAGGCTGGGAAGCCAGCAGATAGAGCTCTGTAGTCCCAGATGAGGAGTTCAAACCTCAAGATCAGGTTGGTCTTAGGGTCCTTTTCAGGTTAACAGCCTACAAGTCACCTCTGTAACCTCAGCCATAGAGTTGTTGTAGGTACGCCTGTCTTTCTGCTCTTGTTCCTCTCCCGGCCAGGTTTGATGGGGAGACCTCCAGTACACAGTAAATTTTGTCCCTGGGTTTCATCTCCTCTTCCTGAAGGGTATTCCATCTGTCTGTCCATCCATCCATTCATCCATCCGTCCATCCGGCTGTGGTCTGTCTGTCCGTCTATCCAGCAAATACTGTTTGAGTGCCTACTGTGGATGAGGAACCATATCAAGTATGAATGAGAACACAGAGCTTGTGCCTGTCTTCTCCCCAAGACCTGCCATGCACTGATGCTGTGGCCACATACTGAGGCTGTGGCCAGCAGAGAAGCTGCACCCTGGGTGCTCATTCATAGAGGATCCTCTGGGTGTGTGTGTGAGTAGGGGGTGGGGGAAGTGCTGGGCATTTTTTTTTTTTTTTGAGCTCCAGGCCTTTGACCACTCATTTCTCATTCATCTGTGCCCCTGTATTTAGCTGTATTTATGATCTGTAGTTGGAAAATATGGCCTTGGTGATAGAAATGACACCAGAGATCGCATGATAGAATTTTGCAAGACCAATGACTTATTCATTGCAAATACCTTTTTCAACAACATAAACAGCAGCTATACACGTAAACCTCACCAGATGGAAAACACAGGAATCAAATCAACTATATCTGTGGAAAGGGACGATGGAAAAGCTCAATATCATCAGTCAGAACAAGGCTGGGGCCGACTGCGGAGCAGACCATCAGTTGCTCATATGCAAGTTTAAACTGAAGCTGATTAAAATTTAAAACAAGTCCACAGAAACCAAAATATGATCTTGAGTATATCCCATCTGAATTTGGACACC